TTAATATAATTTAACCAAGTTTTACTTTTACCATTTAGACGTCTGTCTAAACTCTTGATTTCGTCTAGCAACCTTAGCTATCCCCTTTGCAGTTACTAGTCATATCAAGTTTACATCCAAAGAAAAGAACAACAGCAAAATTATTCTCGCTGTCAATAATGTTTTTGCTCAAAATGATGATTTTTGAGAAGTTTCAGTTTATCGCGTCAATTTGACGCGTTCTGTAATTGTCTATTTTGTGACGTCAGAAGCAACTACTATTCCTGATCTTAAAATCAACAATTTCTGTGATTTCTCTCAATACAAAGTGAATATGCAATTTAATGAAGGAACTATTCATGTTACTGATATCCCATTACAAATGAAGCCTGCTAATATCAAACAAGTTTTTGTCAAATATGGAACTGTTACCAATTTTAAAATGACAGTAAGAGGTATGTGGCAACATGCCTATATTACTTATGAAAACCCTAAATGTATTGAACTATTTTATTAAGTGTGGAGTCGTTTGTTCAGAATGATTCTGTTCATGTCAATCCTTGCACTTTGTTTCCAGAAGAAATTAAATATAGGAATACACACCATATCAAATTGACAAATCTTCCTTTTGGTAACTCTGCAAGAGACCTTCATGATATAATTCTTGCTATTAAAGCTAGAGCTAGCTATATTCCTAGATCCAACAACTATAAACCTCGTCCTTTTGTTATTTTACATTTTGAAAATGAAGAAGCTCTCAATCATGCAACTTAACAAAACTTTGCTTTTGGTAATAATCAACTGATGTGGTATTCTCCTGATGCTAGAAGCTGTCATAAATGTGGCAATCCAGCTCATCTTATTATGAAATGCCCCTTTTTACAAAAATCAGTTACACTAAATAACAATGAAGAACCTATTAAACTGAAGACACTCACTCAAAACAATTCAATGCAAAGACTCTATAACAAATATAAACCTGCTGGTTTTAGAAAATTTGTTAATTCTAATAAATCCAACTGTTCTTCCAAATCTTATTCTGAGGCCATCAAAAATAAGAATACTCCTCCACCTTCACCACCAAAAGATGTTATCAAACTAACTGTAAAGGATTCTGTTCACAATTTGAATAATGAAATCAATAATAAATTGGATCAGATTTTCCCAATTCTCTTCAATATGAAAAAGGATATGAACAACCTGGATGCTAGAATTGCTAAACTAGAATCTCTTCAGGCTCCTTCTCAAAATACGTCTACAGTAATTCCTTCAACTATTATTAGTAAAGAAAAAGATCCATTAATTGTTTCACTCATTTCTCAATCTTCACCTAAATCACAAGATATGTCTAATAAAAGATCTCGCATTGTTGGATCTTTAAGTGATGACTCTTTACCCTCACTAATTTTGACCCTAAAACCTGATCTTACTAATATGGTGAATAAGCAAGCTACTATTATTGCTGAACAAAAAAGACAGATGGACAGAATGTTCAAACAAATTGAACAATTCGCAATGAATGCTAGCCAGTCTCAAAATTAGATATACCCATTATTCACATTCTTTAAATGATTAATACAATGAATAATATTCTGTTATCTAACACTTCCCCTACAACTTTAATTAACAATAGTGACCATTTTCTTCCTAATAATAATAATGCTCCCCTTCCCCATAATTTACTTTCATCACGTGATCAACTTACCCTCATTATAGATAATAACTTAGAAAATTTACATAGTGATGATAGAGATTTAATTTTAAACAAAAACACCCTCACCTTTGCTACTCATAATGTGCATTCTCTTTGTGATAATGTTAAAAATAGTAAAATTCTAGATACTTTTCACCAAAAGAACGTTAACTTGTTGCTTTATCAGAAACTTGGTATCAATCTTCACAATCTTTTAGATGTTCTTCTGATTCCTTTTTTGATACTTTGTAAAGTTCTGTCTCTAATAAGTTTTCAGGTGTTAGTTTACTTATCAGCAAATCCTGGTCAAAGCATATTGCTAAAAAATTCTTGGATAATAATTGTTATATTTATGTTGATCTTTATTTAAAAGGAAATATAAAACTAAGAGTTTTTTCAGTTTATATTCATACTACTGAATCTAAAGAAAGAAAAGTCCTTTAAACAACATTGCTATGACTTATAGACATTAGTCTTCAGTCTAGTTTTCACATTATTATCATGGGTAATTTTAATGCAGATCTAATCAAATTACAACGCCTTATTGATTCTGGTAAAACCAATCCTTGGAAGTATAATCTTGTATATAGTCTTATACTAAGAAACTTTTTGGACTTATATGACATTTGTTATGATACACCCTTACCTACATTCAAAAGATCGAATACTTCCAGTCATATTGATGCAATCTTTGCTTCTCAGAATCTTATAGCTAACTTTCTTTATTGTAATATTATTCATTTGTACTTATACAAATCTGATCACGAGATTATTATTGCCTATTTTTCCAACATTCAACATGAATTTCAATCTCATTCAAGGAACAATAATATCAAAAGAAAAGTTCCTCTTCTCAAATCCATGGACTTCTCAAAATGTACAAGCTTTGGTGAATATTCTAATACCTATTATAACAACCACAATTTGATCACTTAAAAGATCTCCTATCCAATCATGCTAACATGAATAATCTTTGGATGAAATTGAAAAAAGCTATTTTGGATATTAGTAAGTCGAAAATTCCTCACAAATGGATCTCTATACAAGACCATACACTAAAACCAAAAGATTTTTCTCAATACTATCTATCACTCACTAAGATCGAAAGGATTCTTCTAAAATTTCAGTCTAAAAGGCTAAGAGAACGGCTTTAGCCTATTGATGAAGAATGGAAACGTAATCTAAATATTATTGTAAATATTGTTAAAGACATTTCATATCCTTTAGATCCTCTGCCTCAATTTTTAAATTTATCAAATGTTAGAGATGTTAAAAAAACTCTCAACTACATTTACAAAGTCTTGTATAAGCTCACTAAATTAGATGCCAAGAAAAACACTGATGCATAAATAAAATCACTTATTAGAAAAAGGTGCAATCAACTTGAATCTTAACCTGGTAAAATGATAGACTCTATTTTACAAAGGAAAAAGAGAAAAATTACTTTAGATTGAGTCTTTGTCAACAATAATGATGGCTCTAAATACTTTACTCTAGATTCTGATAAAATCAAAAAAAGTTGCAATCAACCACTTCCAAAATAATGCATTACCATTGACGCCTCCAAGATCTTTGAATGGAAGATGAATCTCACAATATTAACCAAAGGATTATGTTTCTGAGAATATATATGAAAATCTTATGCAACCTCCAACATATAATGAATAGTGCTCAATTCTTTCATACTTAGCTAAAGATAAAGCTGCTGGACCTTTAAGTATTCATAATGAAATGTTTCAATACCTAGGAGACAAGTTCCAACATCTAGTATGGCAATTAATTTGCATATGTTTTAATATCAGTGACACTTCTAGTGAATGGAAAATTGCACATGTATATCCTATTCCCAAACCAATGGAATGGGAATGTAACATCACCAAGACCCATCCAATCATCTTATTAGAAACATTAAGAAAAGTATTCATCAAAGTTGTTACTAATTGATTCTCAAAAATTCTCACTAATCATCATGTCCTGAAAGGTAACAATTTTGCTGGTTTATCTGGTGGTTCTACAGAAAAACTGATCAAAATTCTAAATATGTTATTAGAAGATGCTAATGAAAACAAAAAAGAGCTTTGGATTCTATTGTAAGACTTTTCCAAGGCATATGATTGTGTTGACTTAAAATTTCTTTGTCTCACTTTACAATGTATCAAATTTCCTGCTAAGTATGTAGATCTAATCATCAACCACTTCACTAATAGAAAAAATGCAATTTTTACAGCCAATGGTCTTACTGATTACTATGATATCAAAATTGGTATTGATCAAGAAGAAGTTATTTTTCCTTTACTATGATGCATTTATCTTGATCCTCTTTTATGTGAAGTAGATACTTTAAATAAAGGATATGAAATATCTTATATATAGATTAATAACATAATCAGCAAAACTACTACAACTCTTTCTGAATTTGTATCATCCTTGGTTTTTATGGATAATACTAACTGGATTGCTAACTCTTAACAAAATTTAGAAGATATTCTTGTGATAGCCAATGATTTTTATGATTTAACTAGGGCTGTCTTGAACAAGTCCAAATCAAAGCTTATCACAACAAAGTCTTTTGCATCCTCAACTATCAATATTAATTTTGGCTTTTCCACTGTCAATATCACTCCTGAGTTAAATTCTGTGAGATTTCTAGGAATTTGGATCAATCGTTCAAATTCTCAGATTTTTGTCAAAACCCAAGCTCAAAAAGATATCAATAATTTTGCTGCTGTTATAAATCCACACCTCTTACAGATAAACAAATTGCATACATCATTAATGCAGTCTTTTGTCCGCTCTTAGAATATAGATTGCAGTGTACACCTCTTTCCGAACGTGAATGTAATATTTACTTTAGCTCTATTAGAACTCTTTTTAAAAGAAAGTCTGATTTTGCTATTACAATTCCAACTGCCATTTTAAATAGCAACAAATATTATAATCTTCACGATCTTTTGTCCTTTTAAATTAAATCCTTCACAATTGCTCTCCTTAACCAATTCAATTCAACAGATCTTTATTTTAATGTATCTATAATTCATCTCTTTCAACTTCAATTATTTAACCTTCTTCCTTCGTCTCCACTTCATTTATGGAAATATCCTTATAACCGTTCTTCTCACAAAAATTTAATTGGTGCTCAACTTAGCATCATTAGTACTATTGCCTCTGGTTTTAAACCTAGAGTCAAAGATTTTTTGAGTAATCACATAATAGGAGGCTCACATTCTTTTTACTAATTATTTTCTTACGCTATCTTTAAACAAAATTTTAATATTATTAAAAGATTACACCTTATTATTTGGATCAATTTATCTCACTAGATGGTTGCCATCTTCTCAACTGAAAAGATATTAGAATTCGCCTTCCTGTTTCATTATCAAATCTACTAGAATAGATTCTTCTTTTTTAGATAGACTTATTTTTAATTATGTCATTCTCAATCCTTTAGATAGATCTCTTAAATTAGAATATAGATTAAATGATAATTCTTCCTTTATGTCACTTTATGATTTAGATATTAATCCTTCTGACACTAAAAGAGAATATGTCACCTTTTGGAATCTGCTTACCAATACCTGTATTTATGAACAAATTACTAGAAAACACTCACATATCAAAACAGCTGATATACGCTACTTCAATTTAATTACTAATGATATGGGACTAGAAAGTCTTGTTAAATGTGTTAGTTACTCCTTGAATGGCAAAAAGAAATGTGTGTCTAAAGTTCCATTTTAAAATATTGTTAAAATAGATATTATAGGAAAAAATAACATCAGAAAGTTGCGTTAAAAAACTCTTCTTGTTTATCTTCATTTGAACTC